GCAATACTCCATAGCCAGCAGGAAGTAGCATCATAACCTGGTGTGAAGACTCGCCTCCATTGGGGCTTGTTGACATTTGGGGGACGAGTCAATTCAATGGCTACAGGCCTCAATGTACTATTATCGTTGAGAAAGAAGATAGTTCGAGAAGCATATAAGGTGGTATCTTCCAATTCTCTCACTTTGTTCACATACGGTAGAAGCAAATCATGATAATCCAACATGAACAATCTTTTATTTTTAAGAGCCTGCATATCCAAACATGCATCCAAGTCCAATTCGTTAAGTAAATCCTTCATATATACATATATGCGTTTTCTAAAAGAAGTACCTCTCAAAAATCTTACCTCATCAACTGACATATTTCCTTTGATTTCTCTTTGGATAATTTCCCATGTAATGAGTGAGTTGGGATCACCATAAACGGCAGGGTCTAGTTTGCTTTGCAACGGCCACTCCTGCAAGTTACAGTGAGAGGAATTTATATTATGTGGCATCCTAACGAGGAATTAAAAAGAAACAAGCAGAACCGAAACTGTAAATGTTTAAAGGCGTATGTAGCTTACTTCAATTAGTTGAATGGTGTAGGGGTTAAGTCCCGCAAGTGTCTGGCGAGCAAACTCATCGTCTCTAAGCCATGAAAATCTATCCTCTGAATCAGTGTGAAAAGATATTGGAAAGTGAATTTAATTAAATTTAGCCTAACTAATATCAAATTGGAATATAATATGATGGAGGAATAAAGAGGAGCTAGAGAGGTAGGTAGGTACGCACTATTAAGGAGAATTGGGGCTTCAAACTGGAGGATGTCATCTTGAGCTTCAGCAACTGCTTTGATGAGTCTGGGGATCATAGGTAAAAGGCCAGCATCCTTGGGAAGCGCTATACCTTCTTCAAAGAGACTTTCTATGGCTTTGAAGTGTGGGAAAGGCAAATTGGGATCCAACAGAGCAGACTCGATCTGTGGGAATACGGAGGGGAGCGCTGCCAAAATGGCCTTTCCCGTGAATGAAGTGCCTTTGGCTGTAGAGAACTCCTCGTCTCTAGGGACGTAGAACTCGCCCCCGTAGCGTTTCTCTGAGGAGGGGTCAGTATCGCAGGGCTTGCGGCTAGTCTTGCAGCGCCTTGGATACGGATGAGAGAGGCCTCCAATTACAGGACGAGCAAGTTCGGTATCATTGTCAGGGTCACCCAGATCATTGTACACGTCATAATCATAAACACGCTCTAGCTTGGTAAATTCACCAACTTGATTACGGTTATTGCCTTGTAAGGTCTCTAGCTCCTTCTTTCGCAGCTGTTGAAGAGGCTTCGGGGTTTGGGAAGGCAGGTAGGACTTGTTGGAGAAGAATATCCGCTTGGTTGGGTCAACGGACTTGGGAGCCACCCATGACTCACATGTAAACGTGACGGATCCGCCGGGTAACTCAATCACCATTTCCTTGATGAACATCTCTCTATGGTGCTGGTTTTGAACCCTGATGGCCCCCACATCTCCAAAGTCTTCGGGCATCTCAAACACGCACTCGTACTTCTCATCTTGGGCTTCGAACCATACCCGTTGTGCGTAGTCTTCTACGGGATCCTTCTCCATCATCGTCCCTGATATATGTAATATGTGTGCTCAGCTAGCTATAATTATTACTGATTGCGTACGTGAACCTACCCAGTACCCATAATGATTTTTCAATAAATATATCCCATATGTGCTAGCTAGCTTCTTATTTTCTAAAAGACTAATGTTTGATTAGTTATGTACTCAGATTTAAACACTTAGCAGCTTCGTAATGTTATACCTAGCTAACAAAAATATTCTATCTCTAATATTGTCTGACAATTGGTACCGACTTTCTGTTGGAATTTGTTTTACATGCATGCATCTAGCTTTGTGACAGACGCTTGAATATATTTTAACTTTAGTAGAATATTGTTTAACAAAAAAGAATTATGTACTTACGGGTGTCAATCTCACTGCTAATAAGCTCCACGAGGAGTGATCTGCCCCGGATATCGGCAATGTCATCGAGAGGTCTCGACCAACCCATGCCATCCAACAATCCTTCTTGGGCCGTTATGAATCCTTTTACTTTGATTTTCTTAACGGGTTTTTTCACTATATTATCTTTCTGATCAGTGTTATACCGTGAAGCCGTGACTTTACATCGTCCTCCGAAGTTTGGTCGACGAGGCAGCTTGTCTCGACGTCCTGCGGAGATGGGATTGACGAGTGCTGATGGTTTAGGGAACAAAGAGCTTAGTCTCTTCGCTATGCTCAAGGTCTGGAGACTAGACGACGGTTCTCTACAAAACATTTTTTATCACTTCAATTTTTGGGTGCCTTCTCTGCATCTCCCGTTTCATCTATTTATACAAACTCTAATTATTATATTTTTCTTGTATTTCACAAAAATATATGATTATATTGTTTGTACAGCTGTATTGGATTGGACATACACCAATATCCAAGATAACGGGACTGATATATAGAACATTATTTATTTTTATTAAAAACATATTAAAAAATATATATATACGTATATGAGCACCTAAATTAGGAGTATCTTTTGAAGACAATATATCAAAGCATATATATGTCTCGATTAGTGTCTATCCATATGAAAATGTATACGATGGCCCAAAACTTCAACATCAAATTTATGAAATTTCAACAACGTAGTTTTCAGGAAGTCACTATATGTCCCTAACTCCTCCCATGTCACCCACTCGTATCGAACTTAGCTGCACAGTGTTAATACTGTATACATGATACTTACATAACATATATATACGTCATATCGATATAATGTACTAGGTTAATGTCAATAATTCATATCGACTACGTAGTGAGAAATACAACGAGGGTGGAGGCTCCACGGTGGGCGTGGGACGTCGGGTTTATCCTCGTAATGATTTTTATTTTAATAAATCTCTCCTCAAGAATTTGCAGTTGTATCCGCTATCTCTGACCTGTCTACGGCCTATTATAGATTCCGATCATGCCTACCGTTGGCATGATATTAACTACGAAATTAACTGATGTAATGTTCATGATAAAATGAGAATCCAAGATAACAAATAAAACGATACCAAACGGGTGAGCAATATGAAGTTTGTTACATAATCCACTATTATGCACATAACTTACGAATGATGGTATAAAAATACACTAATATATATATACATAAGTAACACCGTATTGTGTGGTTGATCTTAAGGCATGAGCAGCAATAACTTCTCTTAAACAAGGGACCACCTGTTGATCTCTTATCCTTATAGTGCTGATATTTGGGCTGCGAATCCTTGCGAGACTGGCCATTCACAGCGTACGTACCATTAGCCTTTTGGAATGATCTTCCAGTATGGATGACATGCTCATTATCTGGTGCACCATCCATTTTGTGTAAATCAGCAACCCACGCTGTAACTTAGACCATCCTCAATGGGGGTATCTTAGCCTCCTAAGATACCCCCATTGAGGATGCCCTTACACAATGTAAAACAAAACCAAAAACTTACACAATGTGAACGGACTAGCGCTGGCGTCTTCCCATAATAACTCCTCTGGTTCTCAAAAAATTATTTACAAGCTCTTGTGGAACATATAGTCCCTACCTAACTTCAACAGAAATGGAGGAAGCTAATGCTTCTCTCGATGTGTTAGTCGCTTAGCACCTTTTTTCGTTCCTTAAGTATTGTAATCTTGTTTTTATTCTTTTTTGCCAAGATTACTCTATTGTTAGGTAAAACTTTGTATTACCGTCCTTTGTTTCATTTTATATGATATTTACAAGTTAGCAAAAAAAAAAAAAAACTTCAACAGATAATCATGTGATTGTCTCCTTAGAATTTGGTTCACGTTGGCTCACTAGACAACTGCTTGTATTCTGAAAGCCTCAGTTTTCTTTGTAAATCGCTCAAAATTGTGTACTTATTTATAGTTAATATAATTCAGATTAACCATGCACAAAAGGCTTTATCATATATGCACATAATGTAATCAGTATTCAGTATTCTTGTTTTGTTCAAGTGGTTCTTTCATAAAATTTAAACTGTTAAAAATGGTATACGTAGGTTAAATGTGTACACATATGTAGTTTTGTTTTTTTTTGCTAACTTGTAAATATCATTAATCATGAAAATTTTGATAATACTAGAGTAAGAACAAAAGTTCCTTGGCAAAAATAGAATAAGGTTACAGTAAAGCTTGAATAAAGAAATTAACGCAGTCACAAAATGATAAAATTATAAAGAGCTAGCTTGAATGCACCAAAAAATAAAATTAAAGAGATAGCTTGATTAGAAATGAAGAGAAGCAAATGGTGTTACGTTACTTTTTTGTTTGTGTTGTAGAGAAGTGAGTAAGCACGTTTATGTTGTTGTTGTCCAAATTCAAACTAAAAAAGTATCCCCACCCACCTCACATATATGCCATTGACACCATACGTATCTCGCTCAATATCCTGAGAACGCTAAATTCCATAACTCTTGTCAATTTCCGCAAGGAAAAAACTTATCATTATGGGACCACCAGCAAATCCTTTCTACCTACACTCATTTATTGTGTGTTGTAGTGTTGCCAAATTGGGAAAGATGAGAGTTTTGCAATGGTCCAGCCGACTCATTAATAATTTGTGATAATTTTTATGTTCAAATAACTTGTGTTGTTTACTTACATTAACTTCAACTTCCTCAGACCCAATTTATAGGTTTTCCCAAACTAAACTTATTATGGAATTATTTTCTAAATAAATATTTAAGGAATTGAATAACGAATTAGATTATACAAATACACAACGAAGTATCAGGCTTTAAATTGAGATCATATTTAATAACGATATATGGAGATAATATTGATTTATTATAAAGAAATTGAATTTTTTTGCTAAACTGCAAATATCATATAAAATGAAAGTTTGGTTTTTCAACCTAATACATTGGATTCTTGGCAAAAAGGTTAAAAACAAGAAAACAATACAAGATTTAAGATTAGATCTTATTCTTCAGGATAACCAGAAACTCATTAGCTTTCTGAAACGTTTTCTCAGCCGGCGGGCTGTGATGGAATTCTTCACCTCACGGTCAATACCTTTAAAGATTATCGATGGGAGGTTGTCAACTTGGTTATGTAACAAGTTATTCCGCTGCTTCCAGAGGGCGTAGATGACTGCTTGGACAACTAGCTTGCGAAGAGTAGTTGGAGATTCAGAGTTTCTCTCCTTAGTCCAAGATATCAAATGAGACCAAGAAGGGAACCTTAGCTGGGGTAGATGTAATCTCCGGGACACCGAGTGCCATATAAAGAGTGCATAATCACAGAAAAGGAATAGGTGATCCTTGGTTTCATGATCCACAGAGCAAAGATCACAAATCGGGTCAATGTTCATTCCCCATCTACAAAGTCTGCCTTTAGTGGGAAGCCTATTCAAATTTGCAGCCCACATGGTTAGTGCATTCCTAGGGATAGCTCCTTTGAACCAAATGGAGTCATACCAGTCGACCTTATTCTCTCTCGGCCTTAGGGCTGACCAAGTCTTAGCAGCTGAGAAACCTTCACAGATGTGATCCGCCACAACCCATTCATAGATATCAGATTCTAGTGAGGCAGACGGGAGATTCTGAGAGCTCAAATAAACCTGCAAATTGACGCTCAAATCGGTTCTTGGAGCAGCGAGAGTCCAACCATTTGGATTGCAAACCTCTGAGACCTTGGCATTAAGGTTAACACGGAGGCTTCTAGGTCCTTCCGGTCCTATGTATTTGATAAGGGGACCAAAAGAAGTCCAGCTATCAAACCAGAAGCTTGCTTTCCTACCATCTCCAATTCTACAATTGATAAAATTCTTAGCCAGGCCCCTAAGTCGAAGGATACACTTCCAGTTCCAGGAGTCGCCTTGCCTCTCCACTTGATTCCAAAAACTCGATCTAGAATTCCAGTTGTGCATCCTGTGTCAAAAACTCGATAAAGAAATTGAATTTATACACATACTAATAATATAGGGCATATGATTAATTGTTAAATATATATTTGGGTTTTAGGATTTAAATTTACTGTTCCCATGTTTTAGGTTTAACTGTGCACAGATTGAGAATCTAGGGTTTACTGTTCACCTTTAGGGTTAAGGGTTTAGGGTTAAGGGTTAAGAGTTAAGGGTTAAGGGTTAAGGGTTAAGGGTTTAGGGTTAAGGGTTTAGGGTTAAGGGTATAGGGTATAGGGTATAGGGTATAGGGTATAGGGTTTAGGGTATAGGGTATAGGGTATAGGGTATAGGGTATAGGGTTTAGGGTATAGGGTTTAGGGTATAGGGTATAGGGTATAGGGTATAGGGTATAGGGTATAGGGTTTAGGGTTTAGGGTTTAGGGTTTAGGGTATAGGGTATAGGGTATAGGGTATAGGGAATAGGGTATAGGGTATATGGTATATGGTATAGGGTATAGGGTATAGGGTATAGGGTATAGGGTATAGGGTTTAGGGTTTAGGGTTTAGGGTTTAGGGTTTAGGGTATAGGGTATAGGGTATAGGGTA